GGAGCCCGATGTGGGACTCGATCCCGGGACTCCAGGATCATGACCTGAGCCGAAGGCAGTCGCTTAACCAACTGAGCCACCCAGGCGCCCTAATACCAGCTTCTTGAGGAAACTAATGACCATGTTAGAGGTATATAGCAAGAGGAAATCATGCCTGGGTTTCACAAATGCCACAGGGTAAGAAGGTACCTTTTAGAAGCAACAGAAGCAGTGTAATGTGGTGGTAAAGAATGCGGGCTCTACAGTGAGACCCTTTGTGCTCTGTGTGAGCCTGGGCAAGTTCCTTGAATTCCCTAAGCTTCAGTGTTCTCATCTGTAAAATGTAAAATAGCACCTACTTTAGAAGTTGGTGCTCCTCTGTCTACAGCATCTTAGTGGATGGAGCTAGAGGGTATTATGCTAAGCGAAGTAAGTTAATCAGAGAAAGACAAATACCATATGATTTCACTTGTATGTGGAATTTAAGAAACAAAACACATGAACATGGGGGAAGGGAAGGAAAGATAAGACAAAACAGAGAGGGAGACAAACCATGAGAGACTCTTAACTCTAGGAAACTGAGGGTTGCTGGAGGGGAGGTGGGGGGGATGGGGTAACTGGGCAGTGGGCATGAAGGAGGGCATTATGCAACTGATGAATCACTGAACTCTACCTCTGAAACTAAGAATACACTCTATGTTAATTAAATTGAATTTACATTAAAAAATAAGCATTTTAACAGTGCCTGACACATATTTGTATGTTAGCTATTATGAAGAAAATACTGTGTGTTCATATAAGTGCATAGAGATGTTAAGTGGAACTTTGAAGATTTCTTTAGTATTCTTGTTCTTTCTGCTAGACTAATTATATAAGAATAGTGACCCTCGGGGCGCCTGGGTGGCTCAGTTGGTTAAGCGACTGCCTTCGGCTCAGGTCATGATCCTGGAGTCCCGGGATCGGGTCCCGCATCGGGCTCCCTGCTCGGCGGGGAGTCTGCCTCTCCCTCTGACTCTCCCCCTCTCATGCTCTCTCTATCACTATCTCTCTCAATAAATAAATAAAAATCTTAAAAAAAAAAAAATAATGACACTCATTGTTCGTTCATTCCTTTAGCAATCATTGTGTGCATACTGCATGCAAGGTAAGAAACATGGTATGGATAATATATTCAGATTTCCATGTATAATTTATACTGTATGACATAATTTAATGGCATAGTTTAATTTTTTAATCCATGAAGCTTAAGGACTCATAAAGATGACTAAACCCATAGGCATCCTCATGGGAATTTACTGAATGTTCTCTAAAATCTGGCAGATTTGTAAAGGGGGGCCTCTCTCTTCCCCAGAGAAGTAGCTGCTGCTCTTATAAGCAGAACCCCAGATGTTAATCACCTGGAGTCAGAGCAGCAAGAGAAAAGCGCACTGATTGTTGTTGTCAGCACCCTCCCCTGGTCTAGTTGCCCAGTGATTGAATGGAGAGATCAGCAGCTGCTGGTTGGATTCCCCAACCTCAGTGCGGACTCGCAGAGGATTTTTTAATGACCTCACCATACGTGTGGTGCCTGGTTTTTCTCTCGGACCCCAGAGCCCTTTGGTGGTCATGAATCACGGGAGCCCCCGCTTTGCAGGCGGCTGCTGCAGGAGTCAGGTGGGGTGCCCCAGGCCCTCCCAAAGCTTACCTGCCCGGTGAGTCCAGCAGACTGCAGCCCCAGTCCGGCATCGTTGAGAAGTGCCCCTTGATCTCGCTGTTTCAGACACAGATGGGAGCAGTTAACTCCCACTTTCCCCGCACTCAGAATGGTGGTTTTGTAGAGCGGCTGGTCACTGTCAGAATACGCATTAATGGCAGGTGTTTTTCTCAGACCTGTATAATTGTTTTGAATATATTTCTATTTCAAAGCATTTGACTTTTTTTTTTTTTTTAAGCAAAGTGGAAGATGCATTCTACAAAGGTGAACTCAGGCTGAATGGGGAAAAATTATGGAAGAAAAGCAGAACGGTGAGCTATTCTGACAGCAGATTTTTTTTTTTTATTATTTATTTGATAGAGCACAAGCAGGGGGAGCATCAGGCAGAGGGAGAAGCAGGCTCCCCGCCAAGCAGGGAGCCCAGTGCGGGGCTCGATCCCAGGACCCCAGGATCATGACCTGAGCCGAAGGCAGACGCTTAACAACTGAGCCACCCAGGCGCCCTGACAGCAGATATTTTTGTCTGTTTCTCTGCCAGTACTCAGTGTTGCCCCGACTTCCCCTCAGGGGTCATCAGTGACTCCTTGTGTGGGTCGGTGTTGCCCTCTGCAATTCCCCAGGGGCCTGCTCAAGCTAGTGAGAATCACCAGCCAAGTTAGTCACACAAACCACTTGCTCTTTTGCAGCCTCCTTTTCCTTCAAAATTTTAAGACAGGCCACCATCACACTTGGCAAAAATCTGTTAACCAAGTCATTAGTCCCATGAAAAGCTAATAGACTAAGAAGAAAGAGTTGGTCTGTGTAGAGGTTACATTGGACTGCTGTTACCTGAGCAGATGTGTGATTCTGTTCAGCTCAGCAGTTACGCCCCAGCACTTACTGCATGCCCTGCTCTGTGCACAGAACAGCTATCAAAAAAGAGACTCCCTGTTTCCTAACAGGCCCATAGCAATACTATTGTTAAGTGAAAGAAATCAGGTATAAGAAAATGTATTTCCAGTATCCAGTGTTATTATAATAAATCATATATATAGTTAAAATTGTGTATTTTTGTAGAAATAAGTTGCATATATACATACATTTAAGAATAAAATAGTAATATTACTAGTATTTATCTTTGGGGCATTATGGGTTATATTTTCTTCATTCTTTTTCTGAATTTTTTATAAGTATAGATCACTTTCATAATTGGAAAAACAATAATAGTATAAGTTAACAAAGCACAATAAAAAATGTATGACAGAGACTCTTAAAAAGTTTGGAAGAGGGGCGCCTGGGTGGCTCAGATGGTCAAGCATGTGCCTTTGGCTCAGGTCATGATCCTAGGGTCC